ATGGCAGCCACAGGGTGTCGAGAGAACAACACCTCCCCACCCTCTTCCATCTGGTCCCCAGCCTAAGGGATGGTGCTACCTGCACTAAGGGTTGATCTTTCCCTCTTGGTTAATCCTCTCTTGAAAAGTCCTCACTGACACACCCAGAGCTGACCTTTATTAATCTTCTAGGAGCTTCTTCTCAATGTAATCAAGTGATGGTCAAGATTAATCATCACAACTACTGATATTCAGAATGTATTCTTCTGCTGGAAATGGAAGGTTGAATAGACAGGAAGTCATAGGGGAAAGACAAAAGAAATTGTGGGTAGAGAAGGGATCCCTGGGTGGGTGATATGTCCGGTAGTAAGGGGCGGCTACAATATAGACTAGCCTTCAGAATCTTAATTTGGAGTCTGTAGACAGAAAGTTCATAGCTCCCTTAACCATGGAACTGGGCCTTCTGACTCAGGGTTTTTAAATACCCTATTACATTCAAAAGACAGAAAAGCTCATCTCTCTGCCAGGGCATCGTGTGTTTTTCAGTTGCTGGAGGGGTTCCCTCCAAGCCTGGGTGATTACAGGGAGGAGCTATTTAAAGGGCAGTATTCACAATTTAGATTTGCGGGTGCACCAGATGACCTTTAAGGCACTTTCCAGCACCCGGGGTTTTATGATTCTCTTTCTATTATGCATCTATGCTGGATATGTGTGACATTGTTTGAGGCAAACACTGAGAATGAACAGGAGCACAGTTTGGAATGTTGATGGTGCTCACATCTATTTTGTGTTTCAATTTCTGGAAGCAGTCTTTGTCTGGGAGGCAGTTTGGTCGGTGACCTTCTGTAACATTTGGAGCCCAGCCACACTGTCTTTGTTTACTGTAAAGAGCATGGAAAAACCGACTTCCTGACAGTGCCCTGTGAAGTCTAAGGTCAAACCACTCACAGGTGAACAAACACAGTCCATCTACCTTCAACTTGGCATTTGGCCTCTGTAAAATAGAACTAGGTAGTAATGTTGGGGACCTGAAAGAGGGGAAGTCTGTCCTCTGCCAGCAGCCGGCAATTAGTCACTTTGTCAGCCAGCTTTGTGAAGCTCTAATCTTGATTCATCAACCATGTTGGGGAGGCTGGAAGACAAAGCATATACTTTTCAGTCCCCTAGCCATCTAGTAGATAAACCCCTCCCTTGATCTACATTCGTATTTCCCAGGATTGTAATGGCCCAGTACAGTGTTCCACTGAATATTCCTGTTGCCCAGGCTCTGTCTTTCATGGTAGGACTTCACAGTGACTGAGGCGGGTTAGCCTCCTCTTAGGAGTGAATATCCTTATGTCTTTCATAAACCGCTGCTAATTTTGATTACCATTAAATGCCAGCACTCCCCGTTGTCAATGAGACAGAACCATTTTTCTACCTCAGAAGAGCTCTTAGGGCCTAGACAGTCTCTCTTCATTTCTCCCCCTCTTCTTAGAAAACACACTGGCCTGGGGGAGCAATATGTGTGTGACTGAATTCAACAATTACCTTGATCATACCTTGAGTTGGTTACTCAGTCATTTTTTTTTTTCAGACCAGGTGTTCTAGTTCTTATATTTAGATTACTAGAACTTACCTGAACTGGTAGAAACAAAAATAGATGAGCATAAATTTCCCTGTATTTTTAAACAATATTTTGCCCTGCAATATATCTGCTTCTCCAGTGTCCTAGTTATCCCACATTGCTCTTGAAGCCTGTTTAGAGGTGATCTACTAAAATATATGTGGGCATTAAAAGCTCAGTTCTTTACTGCTGATGAGAAAGATTATAGCACTTTTCCCCTCAGCAATAATATGAGGCAATAACATCCCTTTTCACTTCCAGGGCCAGAGGCAGTATGTCACATTAACTTTCATTAATTGCCCAAGAAACGAAGTACCTTCGTTAATTTAGGATTCCAGTTAGCTAAAATTGTGCGAGGAGGCTGAGAAACTCCTGTGGTTTTTCCCTTCGCTCTCTACATGTGTGTGTGAATATTGAAGCTGTTAGCACACCCATCACCTTGATAAACGTAGCCTTCCAATTAGGAAGGAGACAAGAATGAGGTAGGCCTGTAGCCAAAGCGGGACACAGCAAGATCAGTCGAGTCAGAAAGAAGTGGCTGAGGTGTACAGTTGTGGGTCAAGCAGGCAGCACCGAGAAACTGGGCCAAAGGTAGAGTAAGAGAGAGGGCATGGAGTCTCTTTCTATGGTTTTAATGTCATGATGGAAACCAGCCCACCAAAGCCACTCAGATATCAGTGAAATATGAAATTCATGTTATTCCATGTAGTGGCATTACTTCTTTTTTTATCACTTTCATATTACTTAGGGTTTCTATTGCTGGGAAAAAAAACACCAAGACCATAAGCAATTTGGGAGGAAAGGGTTTACTTCTACACTACCATCCATTACTGGGGGTAGTCAGATCAGGAACTCAAGGCAGAGGAACCTGGAAGCAGGAACTGAAGCAGAAGTCCTGAAGGAATATTAGCTTGCTCCTTGTGGATCACTCAGCCTACTTTCTTACACAGCTGAGGACCATCTGCCCGGATGACACCTTCCACAGTAGGCTGAGCCCTTTCACATCAATCAGTAATTAGGAAAACGCAGTACAGGCTTGTCTATAGGTGAATCTGATGGGGGCATTTTCTCAGTGAAGGTTCCCTCTCCCCACCGTGCTGGAACTTTCGTCAAGTTGACATAAAGCCACCCAACACATTCATTGTCTTGAAAGGTGTAGCTAGAGCTGGGCTTGTAGTACACATCTGCAGTTTCATCTTGGGATACTGAGGCAGGAGGCCTGTGAGCTTGAGTCCAGCCTGGACTACACAGTGAGTTACTAAGTTAGCCAGGGCAGCACAGCAAAATCTTCTCTCAAAATATAAAAGAATAACTGTTCCAAGCATTCTTCTAGCTGGAAGTCATCTTGCTGTCTTTAGTAACTGTAGCTCTTTCTTCATAAAGCCTCCAGACTCCATCTCGTCTTCCTCCCCAGCCTCAGCAAAGTTCAGGGCCATTGCCTTGCCTCACAGACAAAGACAGCTTCCAGAAATGGAAACATAAAGTAGATATAAGCACCATCCACCTTCCTAAACCATGCCTTTGTATGTTCTCGGTGCTTGCTTTGTGCAGTGTCAACCTACATCCAGCATAGGGGCATCTCAGAAAGGAACTACCATACTCTCCATGTATCTGATCCTCACCCTGGAAACATCAGCCTTGGCCCTGACTCCAGATTCGTTATCTTACAGGCGGACTGTTATTCTTCCAGGTTAAAGAGGGGAGGAGAGGCCAAAGCTTTAGAATGTGGCCCTCCTTGGTCCAGGACCACTTTTGTAAACTAGTTTGCTAAAACCAAGTCTGTCATTCCAGTCACCTTCGGGTGTGTTTATGCTTTGCACCTGCTTCTGTTCCGATGTCATGACAGTAACTTATTTTAAAAGTACTTTGCTTGTAGGACTGCTGAAATTAAGTAAGGTGCCAGATCTACAGGGGTTCTTACAGACTCTGGTGCTTAGCAAGTGTTCATGCTCAGTTTTCAGTGATGCTGTTGATACTTAGCCACTCACCCCAGCCTCTGGCCTGGCATTTTACATTTCACTGCAAATTGGGACCCCGAGGCACCTTTCCAGGTGTTTCTGTAGAAACCATTCCCCTCCTTGAGCTTTTCCGTGGCATTTCTTCTCTGACCCACAGCTATCAGGCAAATTTAGACCCATTTATTATTTTCATGAGGAATAGAACTCAGGAATAGTTGCCATTGAAGGCGATACAAGCTTAGTGCGAACAGAAAATGTGGTGCAGGCCCTGCACGTGTATTTCCTGAGGGCGGGGAGAGTGCTCAGATGCCATCGTTCTACAGCGATTAACAAAGCAAGAGAATTTTTTTTTTTTGCTACTCAATGAAGGTTGTACACAAAGTTGAACAGCTTGTTTAAATAGTTATACAAGCAGATAATACCATTTATTGGTAGAATACGAATATGAAGAGTAGAGGGCCAGCCTTGGTGATGGGCAAAGAGGTGTCCTGAACATACAGACAGGGGTTTGGGGTGGCGCAAACAGAGCAGTTTAGTGGGAGTGGTTTGCAAGGAGTCCACGATAGGAGGTAGTGCAGTGTGACTCTGATGGAGTGGAGGGGAATCTGCAACCCCAGGGCCGCTTGTACAGAAGGGTTCTATCAGACTTGGTAGGGGATGGAGGGGGTGGAGAGAACAGCATGGCTGCTGAGCTTCCTAGATTGACTCTGCAGTACTCAGGGTGATAGATAGAAGGTTGTCTTTGGAGGGAAAGAAGACATGTGCAGTTGCTACACTTTGAGAACATGCCTGTCTTGCTCCACACAGCTCCCAGGTCGGGAATAGCCCTTTACACAGGAATACAGAGGAAGGCTTATGTGTGCATCACCAAGGAACTGACGACTTCTTATCTGGGTAACTACAGTCAAATGACATAGGAAGTAGACAGTCACCTCATTCATTCACACTTCTTCCATTTTGATCAGCCAGTATGATTATATATTTTTTTTCTTAGCATACTTCTTACATTTTGAGAGTGTCCAAATAGGCAACCTGTTTAATTTTGGGATGTGTGACAGAATCTGCAGACCACGATGTCATCTTTTTCCTATGTGTCCTCTCTAGTGAAACAGTGGTACCCACTCAGTACCTCTGCAGAGGGGTGTTTTGGGGAGCAGTTTTTGCTTGTCCTTTTGCTGCAAAGTACAAATATATAAGTGGCTAAAGGGCTTTGTCCAGTGTTAGAAAACATCACTCCCATTTGCCAGCGTGAGATGCCAGCGTGAGATGCCAATGTGCAAACCAGAGACCTGTCAATTTAAAGAAACAGAAATGCCTCCCTTGTTTTGAATGATGACTTTTGAGGGAACGTTACTGTTGTATGTGTGCCTTTAAATAAGACATCGCAATTGTTTTATTATTTTTTTTAAACAACAAACACTGTCTTCTCTCCTCTCCCTACAAAGGGACAAGGTTTTCCCACTTGGGTGAATACTGCATGCACTACTCGCCATAGAAAGGGTGCAGTCTTGGCAAGCCTCTTCTTATTAGTCTAAAAATAAATTATTCACAATACAGGTTCAGATACAGATTGCAAGGAGAGATAATAGAATTGGTTTTCCAAGCCTGATCATGCTCGGAAGACATGGTATGTGCTTTTCAGGAATCCACTTCAACGGAATCAGCTTTGACGAGCACACACAAGAAATAATATTGCTGCCATCCAGCTTGTGTCTGCGGTACAGCATCCTTTGCTCGTCTTCAAGTACCCACGGTCCTTCTCCATCAGTGTGCATATGGAAAAGTCCACGTTGCTCAAGCATTTCTTCTGAGATGCCGCCCTCCCATTGTTCTTTTAAGGAAATTTCTTCCTGGCAGCGTGAGAGGGGCACTGCCTCCTACCCCCCTTCTGCCTCGGCGGAACAGTTGACCACAGCAGCAGCCGACTCCGGCTCGTCATGTGCTTCCTCATGTGATGTAGGTCTGCGGCACTGTGGAGCAACCGCATTTGAGACTCGGCACTCATGGACAGACGGGCGTTCAGGGACTGGGGAGTTTTTGGAGGGGGTGGGGAGGCCAATAAACCAAGAAAACGTCAGAAATAAAAGTCGCATCAAGTATGCTGATCTCTGTATTCCTATTTTTGTTTTGAAATTTGATTTTAGCTATTGCTTTTTCTGGTTGTGTCTATTTTTTTCCACCCCCGCAGGCACCGAGCTGCGCTGTTTTCTTTCTTTCTTTTTTTCTTTCTTTTTCTCTTTTTGTTTTTTTGAAATTCTGAAGCCAGAGCGTCTTCTTCACAGCTTCAGGGCTGCATCACTGTGGGCACACCAAGCTTCGCCTGCCTCACCTGCATGGTTTCTGCTGACTCCCGCCTGAGATGGCCCACCGTACACCCAGAACCCCGGAGTCGCCTGTCTGCGCCCTGCAGAAGAAGGACCTGCTGCAAGCTCTGGCCAGGGTCTCCTCACAGCTGGATGGGGGTCTTGGAAGACAGGGTGAAGTTGCAGAAGACTGGGATGGGATGCTAGGGGCATGCAAAGGACTGGGAAGGGGAATTTAGGAATACTATACATCAATGCCCACCGATGCTATGCATACAGGGCGAGCGAGGGCAGCCGGAGCCCCTGCCTGATGTACCCAGCTCTGGCTGCTCTCTAGGATTATTAGTCTGAAGAGACAACCCGGGCCTGGATGTGGTGCTTTTTTTCCCAGAGAGTGGAACGGAAGATGAATGAACCAGGTATCTGCTGTGTCTGCCTGGCAGGGCAGAGCTGGAGAAAGGCAGAGGGAAAAGAAGAGGCGATGTTGCCACTGACTGTGGGGAGATTGCTCTGGGCTCCGCAGTCTTAGTCTAAGGGAGGATGGCATAATGTATATGCCAGCACATGCATGGAGGAACTGTAAACTGCAGCATGGATGTCCCTGGTACTGTCAAGGAAGAAACTGATGGGCTGGGTGACTAGATAGTGTCCCCAGAGAAAATAGCAGTCTTGCAGCATGGATTTAAGTGCATGTGCATGTGTGTAGAGACATGGAAGGGAGTGTGTAACACACACACACACACACACACACACACGAGAGGAGAGAGAGAGAGAGAGAGAGAGAGAGAGAGAGAGAGAGAGAGAGAGAGAGAGAGAGAGAATCACTTTGCTGGGTTGGGCTTGATTACAGCCAGTATTTTCAGCTTCTGCTCAACACCCATTTCCTGGCTAGCCAGAAAGCTTGGCCAGAGCAGCTGTGTGTAGACTTTCTTTATAATGGCAGAGCAAGCCCCTTCAGTTTTAACTCCTTGAAGTTCTGAGTGCTCAGCGTTGGGCTAAGACTCACTGTGCAGTTTTGTTTTCTTCTTCTCCTACAGAGCCCTGTAAACACAGCTGTATTCAGTATGGCGGAAAAATTCTGTCCCTTAAATAGAAATGTGATCGATTTTCATCAAAATAAATGTATCCCAGATGACTTTGAGGCCAGCTGGATACCACAGGCTTCAGGGGCTAAGCATTCAGTGGAGATGAATACAGTGTTAGATTTACATGCTTTCCATGCTAGGATCAGTGGTGCTTAATAAAGGAAATTCTTTAAGGAAGAGGGAGGGTCCTCCTGGCTCACAGCTAGATGGTGAAGTACAGGTGCTGCTGCTGATCATGGGCTGGGGGTTGGAGCTGTCGAGTTTCCAGAGGTGTGTGACATGAAGCAGAGCATGGCTGATGTCAGCGTGAAGAAAGCTCGCAGCCTACTGATTGCTGTCGGAGGCAGATGGCTTCTCCATAGCCTGTCAGGGCTGGGTGGGTAGAAGGAGCTTGTCGATTGCTAGGAGTGAGCTGGGTGGACTGAGCTCTGAGCTGAGAGCGAGCAGCTTTCCCAGTTGTCATGGGGGCTCCTCTGGGACGTATGTCTGGCCTGTCCACCCACTGTTTGTTAGGAATTCTACAAAGCGGCTCTGTGTGCTGGATTATGTTTGGCCAGCTGTTAGTGCATTCCTGAGGGTGGGGCGGAGGCAGGATCTTATTACTGTACTTCCAAACTGTAGATCTATGTTGGGGGGGGGGAGAGAGAGAGAGAGAGAGAGAGAGAGAGAGAGAGAGAGAGAGAGAGAGAGAGAGAGAGAAGAGAAGAGAAGAGGAGAGGAGAGAAGAGAGAGAGAATTAGGGGTGTGGAGCGGAGAGGAAAGAAACCAAGCAAGTCTGATAATTCCTTCTCCTTTCTCCAGGTTGAGCTAGAGGGAATTCTGAAAGAGAGAAAAGAGAGGGTAAGGGCTGGGAGCCTGCTGAAAGAGCCCCTAAGACAAAGCAGAACTTCAAAGCTGCAGAGACGAGCAGAATGTCAGCAGCTTGTAATTAGCGGTTCATGGTTGCGTCAGAGACTGTATCTCTCCAAGAATAACTGTGTGATGTGTGCCACAGAGTGCAGGAGACAGTCATAACTAAGTTATCAAGCCTAGTTCACACAAGGGCAGATGCATGAAGGCTTTTTTCTGTTTGAAAATCAAGTATGGATGGGGCACACATCTCACGGGCTGGACTCTGCCTAAGTTCCGGCAGAATGATCAGTGTGTCAGTGGGAATGTGTTTATTACATGAAGCAGTCGACCTGGAAGCATGCAGATTGAGTATGCAAGCTCTCTGTCACTGTCAGATACTGTCCCAAACAGCCCCACACTGCACTGCTGGGCTCCTGTCCCTGTACATCCCCATGACTTTTGCTTCTGTTTGTGACTGTCAAAGGGGGAAAGTCAAAAGTACACTCAAGTACCTATGCCCCATTAGATTCTAAAATCTCTACCGAGTGTGGGTTCTGAGTTTTTCAGTGCTCTTAATTTGTGCCTGGACGAAGCTTTTGTTGTCTTGAAGCCAAACAGCATCTTGCTGCCGATCCCGTGGGGAGGTGTCATACCACTGTGATTGAGAGTTGAAGGGCACCTTCACTCCTCTACCTTGTCTCTGGTGTCTGGAGGTGCTGGCACTCTCTGCCCGCTACAGAGAGCTGGTGGGAGGAGCTGATTGGCCGACAAGCTCAGGGTGTTTACTCTTATTTGTTTTCAGTGTTCCTCTGCTGCATGCATTTAGTAGTTGTATTTGTGTTCATGCTGCACAATTACTCCTGACCGGCTTTGTTTCTCTGCCCGAAGTGAAGTCAATTTCAGTTCAGCCTCGGCAGTTGGGTCTCTGGGCGATATGCACATGTGTATTATGTTACCCATGTATGCACTTTCCTGTTTAAAATGTGGATTAGGGAAAATTGTAGGCAAGGAGAGCCATGTATATTAAACGAATAGCTTTTTGAATCACATGTAATATAATTTAAATATACTCACTTTAAGGTTGCCAAAGCCTATGTTGTCTGAGCCCAGTTAATTTACATCTTTGATTTAGTCAAGGAGTGGAACCTGCCAGATCAGAATGCTGTATTCTGTTCACCCAACAGGGTGGAAGACATTATTTTGTTTGTGTTAGTTCAAACAGCTGGTCATTAATGCAGTCCCCATTTCTGGAGTGAAATGCTGGTGGACATGAATGGCTGTCTGATTAATACTGCCCCTCCGAGGGTCCTTCACCCAGCCATGCTCGTGCAGAATAATGTAGCATGATGTGATTGCACTCTAACAGGATAGTATGTCATTGTGTCACCAAGCAATTGAGGTTATTATGGGGCAGGGCAGACAGACGGGACAGTGGGGTTACTAGACCGTAGCATTTTTAGAAATACAGGCCTGACCTACTTAGAGTTATTCTGGCAGGCAGCTGCACGGTACAGAAAGTCTCCTGATAGGCTGAGGCTGTTGCTAGGGGGAATTAGCATGAATTTTTCCACACACAGACTCAGCGACTGAATGATAAAAGCTGACTGGAATTAAAGAGATTTGGTTTAGCATTGTACAGATTGATCTGCCTCAGTTTTTTTTTTCCTTTTCTCAAGTGCAGAGAAAGAGTGCAAAAACAGAGATTTTTGTTTCTATTTGTTCTTTGACCTTCTCCTTCTCCCCCTCCTGTTCTTCACCCCCAAGAACCAGGAGTGGGGGAGAGCGGAACAGTTAGGAAATTTTGTTTAATCTCACTGTTGGGGGCATGGAAACCATGTTGCAAACGGCGAGATAGTCAAGCTTGAGGACTGCTGGGCGTGTCTGGAAGAAGGGCAGATGATTTTTTTTTTCTTGTCTTCTGTGTAACAAGCTGTTTTGGAGTTGGGCATGCATCTTTCATACACTGTATATTTTATCCCCCCTTTTCCCTTTTGGACTTGAACAAAACATTTACATAAATTTTTTTCTATCCAAACAGATTGAAGCTTGCAGTTGCTGGCTTGTTTAAAATAAGATAGACAAGATCCCAGATTTAGACAAGGAAAAAAACATATATATATATATATATATATATATATATATATATATATATATATATATATATATAAAACCACTTTTTTATTACAAAATATTTTTTCTGGGCTATTTTTGTCTTTTGAAAAACCCAGTATGATGTTTATGCTCAGAGATAGAATTTAACTGCCCCCACCCACCCCTTTGTTTCCCAGTATACAAAAAGCACTGTTTTCCTTTCTTTTTTTCTGCAGAAGAAAGTGTAGCTCCAGAAAACAGTCTCGAGACTGTTTTTCCATGTTGCTGACACAGGCACTGTGTGTAGAAAGAGCTCACATAATCAATTTTACAACTTGACCCATTCCTGCCTCCACCCCCCCAGCGTCCCCAAGTGTCTGCAGTTTTAATAGATCTTTACAAGAGGAGGATTTTTAATAGATCATTTTAAGATAATCTGAAAGTCCATCAAGACAAAAATTAAAGCAATGTGTATTCAAGAATACTTGGAGTTTTTCTTTTTTAATTATATGCTATCTGTGGTGTTTGTGCTGAAAATAGTTATTATCCTGACATTTTTATTTGAAATTAATTTTTGTAAGAAAGTACTATGAGTTCACAAGTAAACAAGGAGTTGAGCTACATAAGCACTGGAGAGGAGAAAAAGAGACTGTGGTCAGAATGTCCCACTGGATTTCTTGGCTATGTGTAAAGAAGCAAGAGGATATTCAGCTGTGGATTTTCTTTTCATTTAGGCTTTTTAGGTATTCAGAATTATGTAGATACAGACACTGTAGTGAAAACAAGCCCAAAATAACTTAATGGTATCTAACCCAGAAAGCCATTGATTGTCCTCTTAAAAAAAAATCCATTGAGTGTTGTTTCCATTTTAGCATGTAAATACAGCTTACCAAGCTGAAGTAGAGACCGTTGCCTGATATAGGGATGAATTGTGCCCTCCATAGCTGGGCGAGTCCCCACAATAGCATATTAATCATGAGGGGCTCCAACCATCCAACAATCTTTCGTAATTGAATAAAAGGTCAATTTATTTTTGCTGAGTATAAAATATCCGTCTGTGCTCTTCCTTCTGAAATGATGCAATTTTTTCTTACAAAGTTATTTTAATAAATGAACATTTTGACCTTCTACCATATTCACTTTGCTAAAGTCAATGTAAAATTATTTAAATATTCAAGTGCAAGGATATAGAAATAAAACATCAATTTTAAACCAGTAAAATAAGGACATATTTTGCATTAACATTCTTTAATGCACAGATGCCTAATTTATAGAGCTTATAGCCTGTGTCCAGGTATGTAGTCACAGTGAATGTTTGCTGTTTAATGAAAAATGAATTGGCCACATTGAATTGTTCAGTATAATCTTTCTTGGTTGTTAAAATTTTTTTTTCTTACTTTGATTTTCAACCATTACTAAAGAAGTAGGCATTCGGTGCCAACAAAAATAAAGAGAGCATATTTTAAAATGTAATTTATGCTTACTTAACTTGAGTTAAACTTAACTTCTAGACATTCCCTTAGAGCATGTCAATAGTATAATAGTATCTGCTTCATCCACTGCCATTGATCAGACAGCCAAAGGAACAAGCACACTCCCTCATTGCATTGATTATTTATTAGGTGAGTGTTTCTTTTCTGCTCTCACATCAAGCTGGCTTTTCCAGTTATATGGCCCAACATAGAACAGTGAATTTTGGGGAAATCAGACAAGTGGTTGTTGGGGTCACCAAGTCCAGTTAGATGCCAAGTAAAATATCTCTGTCAAGTATTCTGTCCAAGATCTGATGTCACCTAATCCCTGTAGCTTGGGAAAAGGACTGGTGGCTTTAAGACCTAGTACTTGGAGGTGATCAGCCCTTCTGACCTCACCAATAAGCGACAGCTCTTTCAAGCCATCTCAACAACTGATCCTGTTGACGATCTAACAGTAAGTCAGTCTGTGTCTTTGTGAAGTCGTGTGAACATACTCTAGCCCAGAGATTTTCAATATCATCATTTAAACAGCTAGGAGTGTTTCAACAATCCTAAGTGCCCAAACTGTGTGCCACCTGAGATCCTGTCTGCCCCTCAGCCTGATCCTGTCCTGTTCTCCTTTACCTGCTTTCTCTTCTTAGATAATCAGTACATGCCATGCTGTTAGCCTGTTTCTCCCACATCTCTCATCTCCATTTTGTCCATGTGCTAGGTGCAGAGAAGTTGGCTGATTGATGGATGAATGAATGAGAAGATGAATGGTTATCCAATTACTTAAAAATGAGTAAATTAATGGTTATTCAGAAAGAAAATTTCATAGCTGTATAATGTAGCTGGTTATTTGTGGACATGCTTAGTGATGAAGGTCCAAGTAGTTACGTTTTACGGCTCCTAATCCCTATGCAATTGCTCAGCTTGCCTGATAGAGCTAAAGGCAGCAAGGTGCAAATACAGACAGAATATAAATGAGTGATCCAGACTGCCTTTCAATGAAACTTCACTTCTAGAAACAGGCAATGGGCCAGATTCGGCCTATGCGCTATAGACACAGGTATATTGTTACCTATAGTATCTTGAAGATACGACTTAAACATAACAGAAATACTCCTCAATATATTTTTTAAAAAGGTGAAGATTTAAAAAGTTCACAAAAAATTAAGAAAAGAAGGAAGAGCAGTATCATTTATAATCTGAACTCACTGCCAGTCAACTGAGTGTTGATTCTCTGTGATGACAGGAATAAGACAATTCATTTTGGAACTCAAGGATTAAAGTAAACGTAATTACTCTTTCTTAAGACGATATTGTTCAAGATGCAAGAAGAAATAGACATTTTTTTAACTTTGCAAAATTACCCTTCTGGTGTTGGTTGCCAGGGGTGAAGAGAGAGTTCCTACTCTGTATTTGAAGGGCTGACAGGAAATTGAAAAAATGACAAAGAATGAGTCTGCAGGGGTCTAGAGAATGTATTGCTTTTATAGAGGACTTGAGTTTGGTTCCTAGCATCCCTGTAGGACAGTGCATAACTGCCTATAGTTCCAATTCAGCAGATCTGACAGCCTCCTTTGGGACACAATGGGCAGCTGCTTCACATGTGGACATATCCACACACAGACACACATATACACATAATTAAAAATGAAATGAACAGCAGAAAATGATTGGAGCACAGCCTCCCATTGTGCTGCTGTCTGGGTACTACTGTTGAATCAGTGTAAATACTGTATTGGACTAGCTGGCCCTTATTCCTGGAGGCATGAAATCACAGGCTATGTAGATGTTGATCTGCAATGCACTTTCTCCTACAGTTTTATATCTGTATATATATATGTCCTAAAGCTTCATTTACAAATCTGGCATAGTAAGAAATCAACAGTAAAGACTCCTGATAAGATACAGTAATTTAAATGAACTATAATAGAAATTGCTAAAAAGGTGATTTCTATATGTGTGTCTGGTATATGTGGGTGACATGCGCACATGTCTATGTGAATGCCAGAGGTTGATGGTAGGTGTCTTCCTCTGTCGCTCTCCACTTTCTTTTGCTGAGACAAGCTCTCTCACTGAACCTGGAGCTCACTGGCTGGGCAAGACTAGAGGTAAATATATAGGTGTCCACTATACTGGGAGGGATTGCATATTTATTCTCTTCGAATTTTTAAAAGTTGACTTGGATTTTAGCTAATTCTCTTCATAGAGTGCCCTAGACAAACAGCTTTTTTTTTCTTCCTGTTTGTAAGGCCAAAGACAGATGGAAACAAAAGAAGGCGGGGAGGGGGGGCGTGGGGGAGGGCACCCATTCTTTTGCCGTAAGGCTATATTTGCATTATTTTCAAATTATGATTAAGGCTTAGCTCTTCCAAAAACCTTATCCTGGTCCAGTGGCTTTGGCGGAACAGGAGTCTGCTAGCATTCTTCAGTCTTGAACTGGTTATGTGTCTGGTGACTTCTTAAAAAAATGCATTTGCCGTTCATCAACAACCTGACTTCTCCATTCCTCTCGAGTCTGCTTTCTTTGAATCCTTTTCAGCACCTAAATGTGGCTTAGACTGTCCTAATCCACAGGATTCCTGTTAAAGTGTTATTCACCTCCATGGGACTGCACATACCCCAGGCTGGAAAATTGTGTCTTTCTCTGATACCCAGTGGAGCCATCTGTGTGTTCTCAGTGCTCAAATAATAGTGAAATTAATGGCTGCCATAAATTTGCCCATTCTGCATGTATATCCTAATCATTCATATTACACATGTCACTTGGACTTTTGCTAAACTATTAATAGTGAATATAAATTAATGATGAGATTGAATCTATCCCAGCAGTCATGGAAAATGACTTAAAGAGGCAGTGGCTTACCCTTAGTCACAGAATCAGTTAAGTGAAAAATACACACATTTCTTTGCCTTGTCCAGAGATCAAAAACCATTCGTTCTACACTTTTATTTAGATAAGAGAGCTACACAAAGATGAAAGGAGAAAACAAAATTTTAAAAATTAACAAGAACAGATACTGTTTTAAAAGCAATAATAATCATTATTGTTTCATAGGAATTTCATAAAATGTATGTCTTATTCTGAGTACGATGTTCTCAGTTGAGAAGCTTATTAAATGAAAAATGTTCTGGAAACATCCGTTGAATTGGATACTTGGTATCTGAGCTTGTCTTTATATTTTTTCTTAATAAAAAGAAATCCTTTGGTTGTCTAAGAGAAATGTTAGAAAAATGCTCTTTGATGCTTTGGAGGACCCTTTCTTCCCAGCAAGGCTAAGCACATTCACAGCAGAGGTGCGGCAGCAGGAGGGGTGGGGTGCGGCTGAATGTCTCTGGTCTCCCTGGGGCTTTTCCCTTGCTATTGCCAGTGGCTACAAATGGCCACCAACCCCAGAAAAGTGAATGGAACAGCATGCAAGCCAAAGTCTCTTTGTACTCACTTCCATTTGCTAGGTGTGATTGAATATTTTGAAAGAAGCGGATACGTAAAAATGGGCATTTAGCTAGAACCGTTTAGAAATGATCCATTTCCTTCGTTTTCTTTTCAAATATATTTGATGTCATGGCTTTGGACTCTGCCTACCCCTCTTATTATCTAGGTTATTCATCCATCCTATAAAAGACAAATGGTAAGTACCAGGTAGATGACACTGGGCTTAGCATGTTTTTCCTCCTCTAACTACTATAGATTCCGGTGTTTTGTCCTTGTTCTGTTACCAGGAGTCCCTCCTTCATCTGATTTTCCAGGCCACAGTCATTAAAGTTCACAGCACAGAGGCCCCTTGGTCTCGGGGTCCAGTTACAAGCATGAAGAATGCCAGTATTGTTTTGTAAGAATGACTGCTGGCACCTTGAATGTTGCTGTGCTCAGAGCAAAAGATGTGAGGGATTTGTAATGTTTTAATTTTAGGAACTCTCTTTACACTTGGTTATTGGAAGAACATTCCACAGAGATCTGCATGTCAGGGCATTTCAGCAGAAAACCCAGAAATATCAGGAGTGGTGTTTGGTGATCATCAATCTTAACTAGAGCCAGTGGACTCTTAAGGAGGTATGGAAACTGTTTGTTTGCTTTGTCTTTTTTTTTTAATAACAGACATAAATCATAAAACAGAGAAGGCTCATAGCAAAATATTGATAATTTAAAGCCAATTCAAATGAGGGAGAGTAAACAGTTTGGAAAGAGTGTGCCTTCTCTTGATCTAGTCTCCACCATGTTAGGATTTAGGGCTGGAGGTTGGCGGTCCCAATTAGTTTTGAGTACTCATTGAGGCCAACAGGGCTCACTGAGTTTGCAGACATCCCTTTGGAATTACTCTCAAGAACCTGTACAGACAGAATGGTAGTGTGGTAGAGGACTGTGCTGTCATAGCATTGCTTATTTTAAAATCAGTGTTTGACCCTGGAAGCTTGACTTGCTGTATTATATACCAAATCCATAAAGGTAAACCAATCCCATTTACTTTAAATCTGTCCACAGCACCGTAAGACCCTTAAGAAATTAGTATTTTCATAGGCATTGTATCTGGGTAGAACTGTTGATTGTCTCTCTCCTTTGGAAGCCTGCATGATGACCTCTGGTACTGTAAAAGCTAGTCTTGATGGAGAGACATTTAGGTCAATTCCAGCTCAGGCATTATGGGGACTGTTTCTGAAGTGCATGGTGTCCTCAGCAATAGGGACTTGCCTTCCACCTCTTGGAGGTAACCAGGGGCAGGAGCAGTAATAGGCTGTACATTTTGGGGGTCTCTTCCACAGCTCTGGGCAATAACTCAAGTGAGGGTTTCCCATATCTGGTATTGGAGTTTTTGTTAGTTGGTCTTTGGCTCTTGGAGAGAGGGCCATTAGCAAGATGAGAAAAGTTCATTAAAACTATATATGTATATTTATGGATATGCCAAACTGGGCAGAGAAAAGACCATGAGCCCTCAACCCTACATAAAGGACTATAGCCAACTCAGAAAGCCGAGAACAGGAAAAGTGGTCTTCCTCAAGGAGAGTACATCAATTGGTTGTCCAGTGCCCTGAGAACATATATACAAATTAACTTATATGGACTGAACAGGTTATATTTAGGAATACATATAAGCATGGGAGAACAATTAGTGTACAAAGAGGCCACAAATTTGAAGGAGAGAGTGAATGAGGTATTTGTGAGTTTTGGAGGAAGGAAAGGGAAGGAATAAATATAATTATAATTTCAAAAATAGAAAAAGAACTTAAAAATGATTAGTATTTTCTCAGTGTAGCTCAGTTGTGCAAGGAAAGGTCCAGAATAGATGTTATCTATGTCTACATTTGTCTCTTTCCTCTTTCTTTCTTTCCTCCCTCCCTTGCTCCCTCCCTCCCTCCCTCCTTTCCTTCTTTCCTTCCTTGCTTCTTCCTTTATTTCTTCCTGTATTTTAAATTTGGTACTGAGCACTAATGACTTATAGAATCTGTCTTAAAATGTCCACATTGCATCTGCTTTCAAGCCACTCCATACACATGTAGATAGCATGGTCAACCAACTGATATACTCTTCCCTGTAGACCATCTCTTCCATTTCCAGCTTTCCCCGGTTGGCTATAGTTCTTTTCAGTTTTTTGGATTCCCCTTATGAACAACTTGAAAGGAGATTTCTCATACATGGACTGGGGTTTTGTTAGTCTAAGGCTATTGATAGATACATGTCTTACATGTGATGTAATATGATTCTTTATGGCCTTTTCAAACATATTTGATGTTATTTATCCATCCTCCCTCTTCTTCCTTCTGTATTGTCCCTATTTCCCCTGTTAAAGATTCACCCTGCTCTTTCCATTTTCCTCCTCACCTGCATCCTGCATTTCCCCTCTCTGGGGCTCCTTTCAAACCTCCATGGTCCCTTTTTACTTTCCGAATTTCTGCAGTTACTCAAATCTGAGAATTTGAAGCTAGGAATTTCAGACAAGAAAGAACATGCAACATTTCTCTTTCTGGGTCTGAGTTACCTCACTTAATAAACTGTTTTCCAGATCCATCCATTTACCTGAAAATGTAGTGATTTCATTTTTTTTTTTTTTTTGCAGCTGAATAGTATACCATTTTGTATATGTACCATATTTTGGTGATTCGTCCATCAGTTGAAGGACATTTAGGTTGTTTTCTTTTCTTTGCTATTGTGAACAGAGTGGCAATGAACATGGTATCCTATGTTTTTGGAGATCCTATATTTTTGAAGCTGTGACCAAGTTTCTCTTTACTTAGTCATGGTATATGGAGTGTCATAAACTTGGGGTTTCCAAGTGGACTAATGACATCACAGTTGAAGTTACGTCATGAAGAACTGTTACCCTGGAGATATTTCCTATATTCAAGGGAAGAGGAAGAAGAGTTCCACGTCTTGAAATCTACCAGATTTCTCCATGCTTTTGTTTCTGGAATATCAGATATACTTATCTTGAATCTGTATTTATACTGGGGGATTTGGATGAAAACAAAAATTTAAATATATAGTGAACTTACAAATGAGAACAGAAGTTTAGACTACATGTTGTCTAAGGTAGTCATTTGCCCAATTGAGGCTACTAACTGCAGTGGACTGGAAATGTATGACTACTGTGTACTAGGAACATGACTGTACAAATGGAGATGTTTTGTAAGGATAAAACCAACTTACCATGATAAAGGAAATGTGAAATAATATAGTTCACCAAGTTAAATATTGATGATGGTATTAAAAGTGGTGAATGGTACAACATTAGTATTTTTGATGTATTAAAGTTTACAATTTTTAGAACTGATATTTATTTTACTTCCTTTTAAGACAGTCTCATACAGCTCAGACTGGCCTTGAACTCACAATGTAGCCAATGATAACCTTGAACCTCTGATCCTCTTCTTGCCTTTGCCATCTGAGTGCTGGGATTATGTGTGTGTATGCAGATGCAGACACACCTAGTTTCATGTTGAGTCTTGAACCCAGGGCTTCATGAGTGTTGGACAAGCACCCTATTAACTGAGCTACATCCACAACTCCTTTTTGCTCTTACTTTAAAATGTGGCTTCTAGATCATTTGAAACGATACACATGCCTTATCTTCCATTTCTACTGGACAAAGCTCCTCTCTAATAAGCCGTTATCATTTTTTCATGTGGAAGCTGTCACTGTGTCCCAGGAGCTTCATAAATACCATTACCATTGCGGATTAGGACACCGAGAGAATGTGGTGAGCAGAGGAAGGTTCTACTCTGGAACCACTGTTAGAATTGACCCTTCATGAGTCTCTTCTGGAAGCTGTTAGGTTTGCACAACACACACACACACACACACACACACACACACACACACACACACACACACACACACACAGCCATCCACATTTTCATCCCAAAGAGCTGACTCAGAATGCTTGCAAGTAATCCAGAGGTGATATAGTAGGCTATACGTGAAGAAAAGAATTGAAATCAATTTCCAAGAACCCACTCATCTCATTCTTGGTGCTGCTAACATTTGGGTCAGAAAATTCTCTGTTGTAGCAGATATCCAATGTTTCATGGGCTCTTCAGCATTGTCCCCAATGTCTATATATCAGTGAGAAACAGCACTACATACATAGACTATCATTGGCCAAGGATAAGAGAATATGGAAATTGTATGCCAATACATTTGATGAGCATGATAAAAATGTAAAAGCTGATGAGAAGACCAGATGTCAAAATTATTCAAAGAGGATATAGGAACTTTCAATCCACTGGTGTCGATAAAAAAGTTGTATAAAATTACTTTCAGGTCATGCGTATGTGAAATATGAGTTGTGTACGTAGACTTGATTCTTATTCCCAAGATACTTCACGCTAGTCCTGCAAGCATTACTGTCGGAAAACAAATCCCGAAGATGAAAGCCTTCTAGTCTGTCCCAAGCCTTTCACGCTGCCTGCATACAGATGCGACTGCTGTGATTCATGTACTGATAACTCACCCATGTCGTATGTTTAAATTATATTAAAAATACATCCTACAAAGCACTTGTATACATACTATAAAAACAGATTTGTAATATAGTTACAGTGCTGTAATGTGTTCTATCATATTAAAATGCTATGTTTATAATGTACTATATAATAAGTGTGGATTGCCTGGATTTTAAAGCACTAAGGTGTAGTAATAGACAATAAAATTTGCTGTCAAAATGTAAACCTTTGATTGAGAATACACAATATAATCTTACAAACAGCCATAAATCATAACTATCAATTTTGACCACATTGGGAAAACTCAAAATTGCTAGGGGAAAAAAAAACTTCTGGTTGCTGGAAGGCCACACATTCAGGCTTTTATTGTGATTTGTTCCACAGGCCGAAGTCAGCCTTGTCAAAACATTGCAGGCAACATGACAGATTCTAAAGCTGTGGTGTCATTATCCCTCCCATGGTATTACATGGAATGCAAACACAGAAAAATACCCTCACTCCTTTTATCTCTTCTTTTGGATGATAAAGGAACAGATCTACTTGAGAAATGATTATACTGACTGTTGCAGTTTAAATTTTCTTCTTAGCACTGTAAACTGGAATGAAGTGGTCACCAGTGAGTCCAGACAGAGAGCTGATGTGTGCTATGCACCACAGATTTTTTTTTGTACAGCACAATAATAAAAAGTGATGTGATGCTAGTGAGCTACCTCCTCAGTGAAGCATGTATTCCACGTTCATCAATAACTATTAACCCCAAATATCTCTCTCTCTCTCTCTCTCTCTCTCTCTCTCTCTCTCTCTCTCTCTCTCTCTCTCTCTCTCACACACACACACACACACACACACACTACACATTTTTGCCCCACAAAGACTTTATGTTTTCTCTTTCCTGGGTGTAACATAGTTTGATAGCTTCCAAAGTGCGTGCCAAATTGTCAAAGGCTGTCAGACTGTAAGGCAGTGCTTGATCTGGAGCTGAAGCCTGTGGCCTCAGGTTTCTGGCCTGTCTTTTACGTCTCAGAAGCACAAATTGTTCAACAATCTGGGGAAATTGGAAGCAGTAAATGTGCAATAAAATATCCTGTGTAGTTCAAGGCTACATAAAAAAAGGAGGCCAATAATCTCTGTGTGCTCTGGCATTCCAGGGTGGTTTACCTGAAGAAACTCCTGTCACCAGAGACGGAAAGAAAACCAGACAACATTTCACAAATCAACTTTAGGAAGTTCATTTGACGTTGTTTTCTCTGTAGTTCAGCTAAAGCTCAACGCTTTCCTAAAATATTCTGTTGTAGAAAATAAATGAGACAAGAAGGATCTTTGTGTTGTCGTCTCCCCACCCCATCCCAGGGCTTTCAGCATGGCCTTTTAATAACCTCCGGCTTGTAGAGCACTTTAATTGAGGACTTCATTGTGAGAGGTTCTAACATAAACCTAAGATCTCCCTGTGATAAGCATGCTTTGTTATGACTTTCCAACAGCCCTATGCTGCATCCTGTTGGAATAGTCATTGTTTCTTAGTCTCTTCTGAATATGCCAGAAAACTCCCAGGAGCTCAAGATGGCTACACTGTTGATATAGTTCTACTCACATTCAGAAAACCACATGCCCAAATTAATCTTCCTTGGAAGTGCCTTCATAAATACAAATACAAGTGTACTTTACTAATCTCTTGGGTGTCTCTAAAGCCAATCAAGATGACAAGATCAGTCATGGATTGGTAAATAATATCAGAGAAGCAAGTCAGAGCTGAGAATCTAACAAACAGAAAGGAAAGAATAAAAAGGCACCTATAAAGGCAGAGAAACTGACTGGTGTGTGATTCTGAACTGGATCCATTATCTTCTCTTATTCCTCCTTTTTCTTCCACTGAAACCCTTCTCCCCAGTAAGTCCCCTCCTATTCTCATGTCTTTGTGTGAGACCACTGAGTTTAGTTAGGTTTGTTTGGGTAACTGGTTGTTTGGATGGGTGTGGGAAGTTATTTATTAGCGCGTGACCAACTTCTCTGTGGCTGTACCACTAAAGAAAGAAAAAGCCCTTCCCAAGCTACCACTCACTGTCAGTAGTCCCTCAAAGAGAGGGTGGGGCCTCATGGGGCTCTTCCCTCTCCTTGATGAAGCACTGGTTGGCCCAATGACATATAGATCTCATGTGGATAACCACAGCTAAAGTGAGTTCATGAATGAAACAACTATGTCATATCCAGAAGACATTTTTTTGTAACATACTTTCCTGTCCTGCAACTCTTCCGTCCTTCCTGCTCCTTCTTCTGGAATATTCCCTGGGCCATGGAGGAGATGTTATAGATGACCCTTTAGGGATTCAACATGACCCATACCTTATTCTTAGCATTTCAATGAGTTATGAGTCCTTGCAATAGCACTCATTGCAATATGAAGCTTCTGTGATAAAGGCTGAGAGCAGAACTAATCTATGGGTATAAATATGAGTGTTTAGCAGGAAAGTTTTAGTACATGTCCATTTAGAAAAAGTGGTAGTAGGTTCTCCACTAGGATATCTCCCTATCTACCAGCCCTTGACTAGGCTACAGTTGCCTCCTGTGTGGTGGGACTTGAATCCAATCGGAAAGCAGTTAGTTACCCCATGACATCGAGGCCAATATTGAACCAGTAAGCCCATTCTGCCAGGCTAGTGTTATTGTAGCTCACAAGGTTCACGACTGACATATCTACTGTGCTAGTTAACTTAGGTCAACTCAACATAAGCTAGGGTTCTTTTAAAAGATGGAACCTCAATTGAGAAAATGCCCCAACCAGACTGGCCTATGGTCAAGCCTGTGGTATACTTTCTTGATTGAAAATTGATGTGGGAGGGCCCAGTTCCTGGTGCCATCCCTGGCCTTTGGTTCTGGGTATCATAAGAAAGCAGGTAGAGCAAGCCATGAGGAAGAATCCATTAAGCAGCACTCTTCCATGGCCTCTGCATCAGTTTCTGCCTCCAGGTTCCTGCCTTTATTTCCCTTGATGATGTACTCTAAGAAACATTGGGAGATGAATGTACTATAAGAAATTTGTAAGATGAAATAAATCCTTTCTTCCCCAAGTTGGTTTTGGTCCTGGTGTTCTATCACAGGACTAGAAACCCTAAGTAAGACATCCACTTTTTAAAAATTTACCTTAGGACATTCTGGAAAAAAATTTAAAAATCACTTTGGGTGTCCTGGAAGAACTGTGTCTTCTCTCCATAGCTTGTGATGAATATGATGCTCATCTAGGATGTAGACTAGTGCTTGATGGTGTGGACATTCATATGGTGTGCCTAGAAGGCTGCATCTGCTTTGCAGTGTGGCATTTGCAAGTGATGTTTTACAGAAACCCAGCTATAGCTGTTCATTACATTGTCCAGAACTGTGTTGTGGCTAAAGTTGGGGAGTTGGGGGCTACAAGAGAGGTAACAGGGCTATAGCATCCAGAATATCCATGAACTTGGCCTTTACAGAAAGAGCTTGCTGAACGCTCCCTAGAGGAATATGTGTTTCTAGGCTCAGCAACAAACTCCCTGGAAAGGTTTTCTCATGCTCACAATAATGGTCACAGACTATGGGATCCTTGGGTCTTGCATACCACTGTTTATTGCATGAGGATCTTTTGTTTTTCCCCCTAAAGCTACTGGCTATTCATTTTACTGTCCTGAAAATTTCTTCCCTTTTCTGTTAAACCAGTGTCTTCTCAGATATTTAAAATCTGTTTAGTCTTGGTATCTGAAAGAACCTTCTCCAATTAAGAAAGGCTAGATTCAAAGTTACACATTATTGTAAAGAGAGGTCGAATTTTCTGTCCTGACCTCCCAGCTCCTTCTGTCCCAACTGCCTGGTCCCAAATAAACACACAAAAGCTTATATTAATTACAAAATGCTCAGTTGATAGCCCAGGCTTATTACTAACTAACTCTTATATTTAAAATTAACACATTTCTATTTATCTATGTATTGTCACATAGCCTTGGCTTTACTGGTCCTCTGGCAACTGGTTTCTTGGGTGGCTTGCTCTTGTCTGCTGAGACTCCACTCTCTTCATCAAAGTCCTCCGTTCGATTGTTCCACCTAACCTTATCCTGCCTTGCCATAGGCCAAACAGCTTTATTATTAACCAATGGGAGTAATATAATTCACAGAAGAATCATCCCACAGCACATTATATCATTCACAATATAGTTAGAAAGAGATGCTCTTTCATGCATTGTATTGAAGTTTGAACATCCAATCACCTTTTCAGGTGGCATGAGAAGCATCTTCCACAATATATGAAGTTGTTTTTTTGATATCTGAGGGGTTAGTTCCAGGACCCATGTGGATAATAATGTCTATATTTAACACTTTTTATATAAAATAACCCAATATTTTCATATAACCTATGTGAACCTTCTTGGGTCCTGTTCCCTAGATGACTTCAAATACCTAGTTCAATAAAAATGCTATGTAAATATTTGTTACACCGAATTGTTTAGGGAATGACAAGAACAAAGTATGCATATGTTCAATATTGACACATTTTTTTTCCTCACTGGAAATCCGAGGTTGGTTCAGTCTCCCTTTACCTTGGAGGACCAGGAAATGAAGACAGATGATTGACTTGTGTCGAAAGACATAGTACAGCATCATGGGATGTGAGCATTAGAAGAAGACTCTGAGATGCTATTGTATCTTTGGCTCTGAAAATAATCTACCCTGGTAGCTTTCACCTCCTTGCAACGTACTGGAAACACTTTGATGCTTGCAAGTCAAAGTCTCAAACAACTGGCTTTTCTGAATTTCAGGCAATGAAGTTTCCTTTTCTGAATTCTTAAAATGAATTAAATCAAGACAAAATTCCAGAGTCAGCTTCCTCCTGGTCCTTCCTTGATCTGTTGATGTTGGTTCCCATGTCTTGCTCCTGTCAAGTGGTCCTCTGCTTCCATTACTTGCTTCCTAATGGTTTCTGTGTTCATAGCCAGAGTAAGGGAGCCATTTACATGTCTATGGCTATATTGAATACCTCATTGTGTTGTAGAAGGATAATAGTGTCTTCTAAGTGTATAATCCTGACTATGTACGTTTTACCTTGTAGAGATGATAAGTGGCTTTAGGTTGTTCAGCATGCAATCTTAATTGCCACTTTATGGAGAAGAATATGTATTTATGT